ATGCCTAACGAGAAATTCTATAGTAATATCAGATTCCTATGAATATGACATTTTAAATCAATTTAAAATTGCAGCTTTAACATCCTTATAACATTTCGAAGCGAATGAATACATGATGAGACCGGAGAATTATTATATGATATCAAGAATACATCGGTCAACTGAAACGAATTAGCTCCGGACAACCTATATGATCAGCCTTATATGGGAGTTATTAATCATTCACAACTTATGGAAATGGGTCCCGATTTTATTAGTGTTTTCTGAACGTCAGTTGATGGCTTTGCGTCGTGACAAAAGGTAGCCATGAAACCCTGCGTGAGAATCGCTGTGTTTAATGTAAGCCGCGATGCATTTCGTGTCAGTGTGTGTGGTTGGTGGCACTGTAGGATCGTCACCTTTGTTAGTATTATTTTTATCACTGTTGTAATTGGCATAATTATTGTTACTCGTTTATTGTTCGCACTATAATTATGATTATTATTATTGGTATCATCTTTATTATTGTTGTTATAGCTCTTATAATTACCAGGTTTATGGTTGTAAGTATCATTATCAGAACTATCAGCATTAATATCATTAGTTAAGCTAAGCCCAAGAGTATAACTGCTTCCAAATTTACTTGCTGGTATAAATTGCCATTCCTATGATATGATAAACAAAAATAAGTGTAAATAAAACATCACACCAATAAACATTTCCTTATAGACGAGGAACTGTGATACAAATGTGAATATGAAGCAACACAGTCAATCTTTTAAATTGCCACACTAAGCTCGTTTTATGACAGTTATAGTAGTACTGTCATTATTACTACTATAACTATTGCCATTTTATTGCTACTATTATTCCTGCTATCACTGTTATCATTATTGATATAATTATTATAAATGGTATTACTATTCCTTTTGATGATATTTATCTAGAATTATACGCACACTCTTATATATATATGGGTTTTGTAAGCGTATATATCTAGCTAGCTAGCTAACTACATATATATATATATATATATATATATATATATATATATATATATACATACATATTTGTGTGTGTGCGTGTGTGTGTATGTGTGTGTGTGTTCGTGTGTGTGTGCGTGTGTGTGTGTGCGTGTGTGTGTACGTGTGTGTGCGTGTGTGTGTGTGTGTGTGTGTGTGTGTGTGTGTGTGTGTGCGTTTGTGTGTGTGTGTGTGTGTGTGTGAGTACAGTACACCTGAGTGTCTCCTCCTGCCCGCCCCCAGAACCCGCCCTTCATCAAGGTGGAGGACGCGGCGCCGCCCTACAAGGTGTCGGGGACTCAGGTGCAGATCCTCGAGATTTTAATGAACTACCTCGGCCGTTGGTGAGATTGCTTTGTCTTTATCATTTTTTTTCTGGTTCTTCGTTTTTTGTTAGTTTATATTCCTTTTTTCTTGTCCGTTTTCTTTCATCTTTTCTTTTCCTTCTATGTTTGTTTTGCTATTTCTTTTTTCTTCCTATTCTTTTCTTCTTTTTTTCCTCGTTCGTTTCTCGCCTACCTTTTCTTTCCTTCCTTCCTGTGCGCATGACGGCTCTTCTCTCAATTCTTTCCTCCTCTTTTTTCAATTGCAAAACAACAGTAATACGATTGATATAGTGATCCATAGCTATAGAGACATTCACACGGTTCCTCTTCATCTTCCCCCAAGTCACGAGTGGGTGATTCCGGAAATCCACGGCTACGGCTACCAGCATCCCAACGGCTCGTGGGTCGGGGTCATCGGCTCCGTCCACAACGGGGTGAGGCCTGTTATGTAGGTCATGTAGATTTACACAGAAGTACATGCACACACATAAACACACAGGTACACACACAAACTTATATATATATATATATATATATATATATATATATATATATATATATATATATATATATATATATATATATATATCCCTATATAAATACATATATACATACATATATACTTATGTATTTATGAATATATATACATATGTATTTATACATATTTATACACATGTATTTATACATATATATATGCATATATATATATATATATATATATATATATATATATATATATATATATATATATATACATATATATACATATGTATATAAGTAAACTCACATACACACACACAATTATTCCTATCTCGCTCAGACAAATGACTTTCTTTCCCCAAACTTTTTACATAAATAACATCCCCTCCCCCCTCCCCCCAGCGCGCAGACTTGTCGATGGCCCTCGGCCACACCATCGACAGGGCCAAGGTGGTCGACTTCAGCGAGAACCTCTACATGGACGAGTTCGCCATCGCCTACAAGCGCCCGAAACTCGCCTCCGACATCATTGGCTTCACGCGGCCCTTCGCTCTCTCGGTGAGTAGGGGGGAGAGGCTTTAAAATCTTATTTTCTGCATGTGGTTCTACGAGTCTAATATTTATTTTTTTTAT